TTGTGTACACATTGGCTTCTGTTACTAAGGTATGACTTTAGGTAGTTGAGGGAGTGGCCTCTTATACCACAGTGTGTCAATTTTGTGTGCAGCAATTCATGGTCGACTGTATCAAAAGCTTTACGTAAATCAATGAGAATTCCCAGCAGGACTTCTTTCTTTTCGAGAGCAGTATATATTAGTTCTAGCATATGTATGATAGCATCATTTGTGCTCTTATTGTTCCTGAATCCAAACTGACGGATTTAGTATGTTGTGTGAGACAAGGTAGGAAAGATCCATCTATGAATTAATTTTTCAAAGATTTTAGAGAGCAGTGATAAGTTAGATGCTGGTCTATAGTTATTCAAGTCAGCTTGGTCGTCACCTTTGCCAACTCATTCACGACTGCATACTGAAATGGACAGTGACGTCATTTGTTTACTCTTGAACACAGCCAAGCAATCGAACATTTCTCATACTTTGAGCTCAATTTCAAGGTACTTTTTGTCGTGAAACCAATCAAAGTCGTATCTATTTCTGTAATATATCTTCCATTCTATCAAATGAGATCAAAAAACAAGAATACAACCATAAAAACCATATGAAAATACCGCTAAGGGGTGGCTAATTGCTGAGAAGTGAGCTCCATTATTTATGCTCCAATTTCTTTCATTTTTGGTGTACGTTAAGAAGTATCTTCCCATCGTATGTTGTCCAAGTTTCAATAAGATAGTCCAGCAAACAAATGAGATCCAATTCCCTAGATCAAGAGCAAGAGCCCCTCACCAGGGTCAAGGAACCTCCCTCGAGGTCCGCTTGCTTATGGAAATTTCACTCGCGTATGGAAGCAAAAAATCGACCCATCGACTGCTCATATTTGGAAAAACTCGCATGTGGATGCGCTAGCAAGTAGAGGTTCCACTGTATAATAAAATTTCATATAAAATATAATTTCATACTTGGAGTAGACCTGGAGAGAGTTCCGGGGGTCAAAGCCCCTGCAGCCCGGTCTGTGACAAGGCCTCATTAATAATATAATTTTATAATAATTTTATATTCCAGTAATTTCATATATGATATTCATAGGTTGCAAACAGACTGCCATCAATCTAATGTCCAAGCCATGAATTCTCTGCATAATATTCAAACCACACATTGTCCTCAGACACGACATTACCACCTCAGTTTCCTCCTCACTGCACAGCTTAAAATCCACGTTTCACATTCTATTAGAATGTTGGCACCACTATAATCTTGATACATTCCCCTTTCTGTGTCCATGGATAATATTCTTTGTCTCCATGTTCTCTGCATCACTCACTTTTTCCCCCCATGTCAATTCTAAGGGTCACCTCATCAGTCAATGATCATTCTAATGCATCACAACACCTTAAACCTCTCTCTTTGCCGACGACATGACTTGTATATCATATCTCACCCTAATCTTGCATCACTCAACACTGTTGTTAACGAAAAGCTAGTAAAAATATTGACCTGCATGACTGCTAATAAACTTACACTTAATATTGACAAAACCTTCTACATTATATTTGGGAGTACAACAGGTGTTGCACAACTGAACATTATGATTGACAACACTCTTATTGCTAAACATAATGAGGACAAATTCCTGGGCCTGCACGTTGACAGCAACCTGAAATTCAACACCCATATCCAACACACAACAAAAAAAAGTACCCAAAACAGGTGGATTCTCTAAGATACATTCCTACTTACCACAATCATCCCTACTCACACTATACTATTCACTCATCTATCCGTACCTCACCTGTGCTATCTGTGCCTGGGGATCAACAGCAGCAACCCACCTAAAGCAAATAATACCCCAACAAAAAGCTGCAGTAAGAATTATCATACAATCCAATGCTAGACAACATACCCTCCCCCCCACTCTTCAAACCCCTAAACTTGCTTACTGTACAAAACATTCACACCTACTACCATGCAACCTACATTTACAGAATCATAAATTCTAATATTAACCCTGAACTAAAACACTTTCTTGTTAGTTGTGACAGGACCCATAGACACAATACCAGACACAAAAATCTCTATGACCTTCCCCATGTCCGGCTAAATCTCTACAAAAAAGCAATGTATATGTACATAAAAGGGCCTAAAATCTGGAACTCCCTGCCTGAAAACTCTAGAACATCAGACTCAACCCCCAGTTTCAAAACAACCATTAAATAACATATCTCCCTAACATACCCCATCATCAGCTATGTGAAAATCACCTATTCTCTTTTTTGTATCATGAACATCTCCAAAACAAAATAGACTTACTCTTATCATCTGTAATTCCCCCTAATTTACACTTACACTCACCCAAATGACTGTAAATATAAAATTCCTGATATAGCTATTGCTATATCAGGTAGGGTGTGCAAAAGAAGAAAATTAAAGGTGAATACAGGAAAGAGTAAGGTTATGAGGATAACAAAAAGATTAGGTGATGAAAGATTGAATATCAGATTGGAGGGAGAGAGTATGGAGGAGGTGAATGTATTCAGATATTTGGGAGTGGACTTGTCAGCGGATGGGTCTATGAAAGATGAGGTGAATCATAGAATTGATGAGGGAAAAAGAGTGAGTGGTGCACTTAGGAGTCTGTGGAGACAAAGAACTTTGTCCTTGGAGGCAAAGAGGGGAATGTATGAGAGTATAGTTTTACCAACGCTCTTATATGGGTGTGAAGCATGGGTGATGAATGTTGCAGCGAGGAGAAGGCTGGAGGCAGTGGAGATGTCATGTCTGAGGGCAATGTGTGGTGTGAATATAATGCAGAGAATTCGTAGTTTGGAAGTTAGGAGGAGGTGCGGGATTACCAAAACTGTTGTCCACAGGGCTGAGGAAGGGTTGTTGAGGTGGTTCGGACATGTAGAGAGAATGGAGCAAAACAGAATGACTTCAAGAGTGTATCAGTCTGTAGTGGAAGGAAGGCGGGTGGTGGTCGGCCTAGGAAAGGTTGGAGAGAGGGGGTAAAGGAGGTTTTGTGTGCGAGGGGCTTGGACTTCCAGCAGGTATGTGTGAGCGTGTTTGATAGGAGTGAATGGAGACAAATGGTTTTTAATACTTGACGTGCTGTTGGAGTGTGAGCAAAGTAACATTTATGAAGGGGTTCAGGGAAACCGGCAGGCCGGACTTGAGTCCTGGAGATGGGAAGTACAGTGCCTGCACTCTGAAGGAGGGGTGTTAATGTTGCAGTTTAAAAACTGTAGTGTAAAGCACCCTTCTGGCAAGACAGTGATGGAGTGAATGATGGTGAAAGTTTTTCTTTTTCGGGCCACCCTGCCTTGGTGGGAATCGGCCAGTGTGATAATAAAAAAAAAAAAAAAATAAGCTATTGCTTAATAAATCTTAAGTCAGTCCTAAGTTTGTCTAGGATACTCTCCCAATACATAAGCTTTAACCCTTTCAGGGTCGAGAGGCCTTCTCCTAAACTTGTTCTCAGGGTCGAAATTTTTTTGAAAAAATAAAAATTATTCTTTTTTATGAAATGATAGAGAATCTTTTCCTGATCATAATGACACCAAAAGTATGAAATTTCATGGAAAACTAATGGAATTATCCTCTCGCAAAGTTAGCGGTCTCAACAATGTTTACGCATCAGCGAATTCACCCACTTTGAGCCCTATTTTCGGCCAATTCCAATGTACCAGTCGACAAAAATCATAACTATTTCACTAGAACTCCATTTGTTCTATCGAATGAGTACAAGAAACCACCCATTTACCGATTTCAACTATCCAATAAAGTTGTCAGAAATTGGCAATTTTGCCAATTTCACACAAATTTCAAAAGATGCCAATTTCCAAAAAGGGGTCCAGAATAAACAAGACAGACATTCCTGGTACTAAAATAACATTTTCTCTGTTCATTAGTCACGTTTCCAAGCCCCCTCTTACATTTCTTTTGCTTTCCACTTTGAATTTTTATTCTCACTTAAAATAGAAGATTTACTGATACACAGACTACTGCATTAGTGTAGAAATGGTATAAATAATATCAACGCACTTGTGAAAGAAAATTAGGCTCACCAGTTGACATGTATTGGACACGTGGCATGATTTGTTTACTTTGGAGTATTGGCAAAAATCAAACATTTCTGGTACTTTGAGCTCAATTTCAAGGTACTTTTCTTTGTGAACCCAATCAAAATCATCTCAATTTCTGTAATATGTCTTCCATTCTATAAAATGAGACCAGGAAAATGAGAATACAACCATAAATACTACACGAAAATACATTGCAAAGTTGCTGTTTTAAACCAAAAACATGGTCAGTTTTTTTTTCTTATTATGCACTGTGCGCTGCAGGATTTTGTTTATACTGTGCACACTGACCACATAGACCCATTCTTTCATATGTAGACCTACCAGCTTTCTCTTGCTGGATTTGAAGGTGCTAGAATTTACAGGTAATAGTACGGCACCAACCTTGGCATGCAAGCAGTACTAGTATGAGACCGACCCTGAAATGGTTAATAGAAACAGTGTATCATGCCAAGACAAAACCATTCCCATTACTAAACTTACTATTGTAATACTGTTATATGTTTGGTACTACCTCACTATTATATACTATATCTAATTAATCACTTCAGTTACCTAACTTTTATATCAGTATGCAATTAGGTATATTAAAATGTACTGCTCCATAACCTGTGTCAATATAGAGTAAGAATTAGGATTAGTCTGCCCGAAATGCTTAGGCATGCTAGTGGCCTTCTTTGTCATTAATATTTTATAATATGTAAACGACGCAGTGTAAGCTTTGCAAGGAAATAAACATTTCATTTCTAAGAATGAAATGAAATCACAAAACTAGAAGTCTGAATTAGTTCCAGTTACATTAAACATGAGCCTAAAACATCAAACACTCTCATAATACTGTTTAAAGTTTTAAAAAAATCTAAAAAAACAAAAAAACAATTAATGTAATAACTAGAAATTGAAAATATAACATTACAGCTCAGGACTTGAACAACAACCTCTCTTAATTATTAAACGGAATTAACTGACACATTTCCATTACACAGTTAAAAGTTCAAAAAAGTGAAAAAAATGTCGTTGAAAAAATAATTTATTCTAATGGTGAATGTGTTTCCTTTTTTTGAGAGTCGCTGTACCTCAGTGAAACACAGCAAGAGTAAAAAAAAAAAAAAAAAAAAAATACTAAATATATATACCTGAACAAACACCTTCTGAAGGAGAATTCTTCTTTCACTTGCTGAGAACTCTGTAGTATCATTATCAGTTTGCAGGGTGGTGGGTACATCAGTTGAGGGACTCTCATACTCAGGTAGATCAAAAAAGAGGTATAAACACTTGACTAGTGTTGATGGTAGTGAAGATGCAGTCATGACCTAAAATACCAAGACATTCAATTATTATACAAATTGTCTTGAAACCCAGTCAAAGTTACGATTTACACTTACTGACCCTTAACCCTTTCAGGGTCGAGAGGCCCTCACTTAAACTCGGTCTCAGGGTCGAAAATTTTTTGGAAAAAAAATTATTTTTCTTACGTTATGATAGAGAATCTTTTCCCAATCATAATGACACCAAAAATACGAGATTTGATGGAAAACTTGTGGAATTATGCTCTCGTGAAGTTAGCGGTCTCGACAATGTTTATGCATCGGCGATTTCGCCCACTTTGAGCCCTATTTTCAGCCAATTCTGTGTACTAGTCGACAAACATCATATTTATTTCGCTAGAACTCCATTTTTCTATCCAATGAATACAAGAAACCACCCATTTACCAATTTCAACTGTCCAATAAAGGGGTTAGAAATTGGCAATTTTGCCAATTTCACACAAATTTCAGAAGATGCCAATTTCCAAAAAGGGGTCCAGAATAAACAAGACAGACATTCCTGGCACTAAAATAACATTTTCTCTGTTCATTAGTCACGTTCCCAGGATCCTCTTACATTTCTTTTGCTTTCCACTTTGAATTTTTCTCACAAAAAATAAAAGATTTACTGTTATGCAGACTACTGCATTAGTGTAGATATGGTATAAATAATATCAGAGCACTTGTGAAAGAATATTCGACTCACCAGTTGACGTGTATTGGACGCTTGGTATGATTTGTTTACTTTTGAACTTTGGTAAAAATCGAACATTTCTGCTACTTTGAGTTCAATTTCAAGGTACTTTTCATTGTGAAACCAATCAAAATCATCTCAATTTCTATAATATGTCTTCCATTCTATAAAATGAGACCAGGAAAACTAGAATACAACCATAAATACCATATGGCAGTACAGTGCAAAGTCTCTGTTTTAATCCAAACACATGGTCAAAGCTTTTTTTTTTCTCATTACGCACTGTGTGCTGCAGGATTTTTTAAATACTGCGCACACTGACCACATAGGCCCATTCTTTCATATGTAGGCCTACCAGCTTTCTCTCGCTAGATTTGAAGGCGCTAGAATTTAGGCGTTTTAGTATGTCAATAACCCTGGTGCGTAAGCCGTACTAGTACGTCAGAAACCCTGAAAGGGTTAAACTGACCAAACATAGATCTATGTTTTCAATGCCACCACTATATATATATATTTTTTTTTAAGACGGCAACTTTTTGTGTGTAATAAGACCCCAAAAAAAATTTAGGGTCAGTAGTTGCCGAGACAAAGCCATGAAGTTGATGCTGGATGCTCACCTGATAGCGACATTGAGTTCTGCCGCTTGCAGAAGTGTTGCCGATATACTTTTTTTGTCGTTTTTATTTTAATTTACAGTGGACCCTCGCCTAACGATTGCATCGCATAACGTTAAATCCGCCTAGCGATACATTTTAACGCAAAAATTTTGCCTCGCCTAGCGCTAAAAAATTCGCTCGACGCGATTCGTCCGAGACGCGTCCATGTGCAGCCTGAGCTAGCCTCACTTGTTCCGTGGGTGGCAGTGTTTACAAGCCAGCCTCCGCGGTCACATCCAAGCATACAATCGGAACATTTCGTATTATCACAGCATTTTTAGTGATTTCACCTGCAAAATAAGTGACCATGGGCCCCAGGAAAGCTTCTAGTGCCAACCCTGTGGTAAAAAGGGTGAGAAATACTATCGTACCACAGTCAGCTGCTGCTGCACCACTGTCAGCTGTTGCTAGACCAGTCAGCTGTTGCTGCACCACAGCTGCTGCTGCACCACAGTCAGCTGCTGCTGCTGCACCTCAGTCAGCTGTTGCTGCACTACAGTCAGCTGCTGCTGCACCATGGTCAGCTGTTGCTGCACCATGGTCAGCTGTTGCTGCACCACAGTCAGCTGCTGCTGTTGCTGCACCACCATCAGCTGTATTACTCGAAGATGTGGAGAATGTGTTGTTGGTATGGCTTACCATGAAACAATTAACCCCAGAGGGTTAGCCACCCAGGATAACCCAAGAAAGTCAGTGCATCATCGAGGACTGTCTAACTTATTTCCATTGGGGTCCTTAATCTTGTCCCCCAGGATGCGACCCACAACAGTTGACTAACACTCAGGTGAACAGGAAAAAATGCCTGGAACTAGTTCTCACATTGGTGAGGTTAGTGGGGAGGATGTGGAAGAGTTGGTGGAGGAGGACAATGAAGAACTAACCACTGATGAGCTGCTAGATCATCTTCAACAGCAAGAGGCCAGACCTGAGGAAACTGCTTTGGAGGATGGGAGAGAGAAATTGAAGAAGTTGCCTACTTCAAAGATTAAGGAAATGTGTGCAATGTGGCTTAAAGTGCAAACCTTTTTTGAAAAAATCACCCTGACACAGCTATTGCAAGCCGTGCTGGTGACTATTACACTGACAATTTTGTGAAACACTTTAGGAAAGTCATAAAGGAACGAGAGGTACAGGCCTCTATGGACAGATATGTTGTGCGACAGAAGTCCAGTGACTCTGAAGCTGGTCCTAGTGGCATTAAAAGAAGAAGGGAAGTAACCCCGGAAAAGGACTTCCTACCTCAAGTCCTAATGGAAGGGGATTCCCCTTCTAAATGCTAAGACCATCCACACTCTCCTCTCCTTCCATCCCATCAATCACCAGATCTTCAATAAAGGTAAGTGTCATGTATTGTACATCTCTTCTTCAGTTTGTGCATATTAAAATTAATATTTCATGTGGTAAAAAAATTTTTTTTTTCATACTTTGGGGTGTCTTGCATAGATTACAGTGGACCCCCGCATAACGATGGCATCGCATAGCGATTTTTCCGCATAACGATTACTTTTATCGCAAAATTTTTGCCCCGCATACCGATTAAAAACCCGCATACCGATTTTCGTCCGAGACGCGTCCAATGTGCCCTCACATGTGCCGGCCGTCCCATTGTTTACCAGCCAGCCTCCGCGGTAACATCCAAGCATACACTCGGAATATTTCGTATTATTACAGTGTTTTCGGTGGTGTTTCTGGAAAATAAGTGACCATGGGCCCCAAGAAAGCTTCTAGTGCCAACCCTGTGGTAAAAAGGGTGAGAATTAGTATGGAAATTAAGAAAGATTTTGAAGGGTTTGGGGCTAACCCTGAGAAGCCTATGCCAGTTGTGGAATCCATTGTGCCTACTTCAAAGATTAAGGAAATGTGTGCAGAGTGGTTTGAACTGCAAACCTTTATAGATGAAAATCACCCTGACACAGCTGTTGCAAGCCGTGCTTGTGACTATTTCAATGACAATGTTATGGCCCATTTTAGGAAAGTCTTGAAGAAACGGGAGGTACAGAGCTCTATGGACAGATTTGTTGTGCGACAGAGGTCCAGTGACTCTCAAGCTGGTCCTAGTGGCATTAAAAGAAGAAGGGAAGTAACCCCAGAAAAGGACTTGCTACCTCAAGTCCTAATGGAAGGGGATTCCCCTTCTAAACAGTAAGAAGATAATGCTCTCCCCTCCTCCCATCCCATCAATCATCACCAGATCTTCAATAAAAGTAAGTGTCATGTAATTGTGCATGCCTTTTTCAGTTTGTGTGTATTAAAATTAACATTTCATGTGGTAAAAAAAATTTTTTTTCATACTTTTGGGCGTCTTGCACGGATTAATTTTATTTCCATTATTTCTTATGGGGAAAATTAATTCGCATAACGATTATTTCGCATAACGATGAGCCCTCTTGCACGGATTAAAATCGTTAACCGGGGGTCCACTGTAATTTGATTTCCATTATTTCTTATGGGGAAAATTAATTCGCCTAACGACAATTTCGCCTAACGTTGAGCTCTCAGGAACGGATTAATATCGTTTAGCGAGGGTCCACTGTATATAATTTTTATGTTCTGATGATAACAATTTATAGTAGTTCTTGTGATTTCATAGCCAATCTTCGTTCTGACACTAACATGAGGTACTGAAATAGTACTCAGATAGTCACAAAGACAGGTGAACATTTTCACCTGCTTCGGTCACATAATATTGTCTAGAAATACAGTAGGGCCCTGCTTTATGGCATTTCGCCTTATGGAATTACACTAACACGAACATTTCAAATTGTGACCAAAACTTGCTATATGGCTCCCCCACCTGACTTTCTAATAGTTATCGCGCCCCACCCAGTTTGTTTACATTCTACGTGAGCACAACTCTCCATTATGTTTGGAAGCTTTCCAAAATTTCAAGTGTTTTAATGCTATTTCATATTTTATATATACTCTGATAATTATACTTATATGTAATTGTACCTAAATAATCTTACACACTGTGCTGGCATGCAGGTACACATTAAAATCACTAGGAGTGTCTTATTATTCTTGAAGATGCCATATTATTAATGCTGATAATAACAACACACAATAATAAGCACTCTGAGGCACATTAAGTGTCGTATAAAACATTAATATGGACATTTTGCTTAACACACCTATGATATTTTTTTCAAAATCATATAATAAACATGCTATGTATATATTTTTTTTTTCAACAAGTAGGCTGTCTCCCACTGAGGCAGTGTGACCCAACAGGAAAGAAAATCCTCAAAAACAAAATACTTTCATCATCATTCAATACTTTCACCTCACTCATACATAATCACTGTTTTTGCAGAGGTGCCCAGATACAATTCAGAAGCATATATAAAGATATATAACATATCCCTCCAAACTGCAAATATCCCAAACCCCTCCATTAACCCTTTGACTGTATCGGTCGTATATATACGTCTTATGAGCCAATGTGTTTGACATATATAGTATACTCAAAAATTCTAGCGGCTTCAAATCAAGCAGGAGAAAGCTGTTAGGCCCATGTGTGAGAGAATGGGTTTGTGTGGTCAGTGTGCACCATATAAAAAAAAAATCCTGCAGCACGCAGTGCATGAGGAAAAAAATGAGGAATAAAACGCTGAATTTTAGGTGTATTTTCATAAAGTATTTATGGTTGCATTCTC